CATATGGGGAAAAGGATATCCTCCGTTTCCAGGCCATTCTGTTATTAGTTTGTGGTTCGCTAAAAGAGAGGGGTTTGTGCAGGGCCTTCGAGGGGTCAGCCGGAGACTCACCCACTTTCCCCTTTCCTCAGCTTCTGGGCAGCAGCCTTCTTTGATAGGCTGATCTGTGAATCGAGCTTCTTAAGGAAATCAGAGGCAGAAAGGTCATGGATGGGTGTGGAGGTTTCCTGGTGTGGCGGGAGGGCTTCACCATTGGCCCGGCCTGAACCTGACTCTTGATTCTTCCTCTTCCCTGAAAGTGAACCAGCGCCATCTTTCCTGGGTCGTACCTCCTCCTCTCCATCATTTTCCTCCTCAGAATCCAAACCATTAAACAGGTCTCTGGGCTCTGTCAGGATGGGGATGTAGAGGGTTTTCTTCAGGAAGATGGAGTCATTAGTATAAAGGCGGTTTGTGCGCTTAATCTGTTCCATCTTAAAAAACAAAACAAAACAAAAAACACCCAAAATGAATGACCAACAGTAAAATCCACCCTTTTTTTCCCCCGAGACAAGGTTTCTCTGTAGCTTTTGGAGCCTGTCCTGGAACTAGCTCTTGTAGACCAGACTGGCCTCAAACTCACAGAGATCCACCTGCCTGTGCCTCCCAAGTGCTGGGATTAAAGGCATGCTCGACCACCGCCCGGCTAAATTCACCAATCTTATATAGCATCTCAAACTTTTTGTTTTCTCTTTTGCTATGTAGGCCAAGCTAATGTCAAACCAAGCCTGGCTCAGGATCTAGGACTCTTGTCGTTGGTACGGTGGTGAGGATATGTGCACTTCAGCGGAGCCCAGACTGCTGCACTGTTTCATGCCTGCACCCACCGGGCCATCTTCCCAAGCCACCACCGCAAACGTTTTCAGTCGTACAAGTCTTTGACTCCATGACACACCAGCTCAAGCATAAAGGCTGCTGTTAATCGTGTTTTACCGTTTTCCTATTTTCTAGTCTTAGGACACTTTCACATTTTTAAAAATTATTGCAGCAGAAAACAAAAAAACAACCTACAACCCTTTCATCTATTTAAGGCAGCAAACAGGAGTGGTGGCAAAAGCCTCCTACCCCAGCTCCCTAGGGGCAGCCAAGAAGAGTCTGAAGCTAGCTTGAGTTCCCAGGGACGTTGTCTCAAACAAAACAGAACAAGCTAGTAGTATTTAAAGCTAACAATTAAATAATTAATAACAATAAATTAATTATTAATAATTAAAGCTGAGAGGCTGGAGAGATGGTTTTAATAGTTAAAAGCACTGGCTGCACCGGGCGGTGGTGGTGCACGCCTTTAATCCCAGCACTTGGGAAGCAGAGTCAGGCGGATCTCTTGTGAGTTCGAGACCAGCCTGGTCTACAAGAGCTAGTTCCAGGACAGGCTCCAAAACCACAGAGAAACCCCCTGTCTCGAAAAACCAAAAAAAAAAAAAAAAAAAAAAAAAAAAAAAAAAAAAAAAAAAGCAAGCACTGGCTGCTCTTGCAGAGGGGGACCAATTTCCAGCACCCACACAGTGGTTCACAACCATCCATAACTCTAGTTCTTGGTGATCCAAAACCCTTTTCTGACTTCTGGGGGCACCAGGCACCCCCATGGCACACAGATATACATGCAAGAAAACACTAAAAATAAACTTAAAATAAAATAACAAAGCTGAGCTAGGTGTGGTAGTGTACCTTTCTTTTTCCTGGTTTTTTTGAGACAGGGTTTCTCTGTGTAGCCCTGGCTGTTCTAGAACTTGCTGTATAGACCAGGCTGGCCTCAAACTTAGAGATCCCCCTGCCTCTGCCTTCTGAATGATGGGCTCAAAGGTGTGTGCCACCACTGCCTGGTGACAGTACACATCTTTAATCTCAGCACTTGGAAAGCAGAGGCAGGGGGATTTCTGAGTGTGAAGGCAATCAAGCTACATAATGAGACCTGGTTAACAATAAAATAACTAAATCTGTATGGGGCTGTATTTGTGGCTCTGCGGTGCAGTGTTTGCCTGGCGTGTGCAGAGCCCTGGGCTGGACCTCTAGCAGACCTCCAACAATTATAAATACACAAAACTCTCACACACGTTCTCACAGTCCTATGCCAACACCACACCACTCTCTCTCATCCGGGCTAACTGTTTGTTTAATTGCTCTTCCTCTTTCCTGTCCACAGATCTTCCCCTTGCCATCTAGAAAAGTGAATCTGATTAACCCTCCAGCTGGCTCAGCAACTTCTGTGGCTCCTCTTGGGCTAAACAACAAAATCTAAGTGGGGACTCAAGGCCTTTCTCTAGCTAGCCCACACAGGACGGGTCTAGCCTTGTCTCTTGTCTGCATTCTTCCACTGAGCTACACTTTCAAATCACCAGTTCCCTTGGTCTTGCTATGTGTGGCCCTGGCCTAGAACTCTGAGCCAGCTGTCAGGCTGTGTAACCAAGCCTGGCTTTCAGGCATCCTTTCTTCTTCCTTCCAGACAGGGTTTCTCAGGGTAGATTGGCTGTCCCAAAACTCACTCTATAGACCAGGCTAGCCTCAAACCCACAGAGATACGCCTGCCTTTGCCTCCCGAGTGCTGGGATTGAAGGTGTGCTTCCAGATAGCTGTTAAATTTCCATGTAATTGAGACTAGGCCAGAATTTAGAGACGGAAGGTTAAAAGGAAACTATTTCTGCTCTTAAAGGGCTTGTACACTCAAAAAAAAAAAAAAAGCCAGGCGATAGTGGCTCATGCCTTTAATCCCAGCACTCGGGAGGCAGAGGCAGGAGGATCTCTTGTGAGTTCAAGACCAGCCTGGTCTACAGAGCTAGTTCCAGGACAGGCTCCAAAGCCACAGAGAAACCCTGTCTCGAAAAAACCAAAAAAAAAAAAAAAAAAAAGAGCTTGTGCACAGCTGGAAGTCAAAGACATAAACATCTGGGTCAGACAGACCTGTAGAAGGGGACACGGAGGGCAAGGTTTCTAAGTCTTCAAGGCCCATAGTGAGGAAAACTATAGCGTCCATCGCTCACACCCATCTCAGCCCTCACGACACAGGAGCACTGTGAGTTCCGGGCCAGCTTAGGCTACACAGTGACATACCGACTAGAAAATCCACCCTCCCCGCCAAACAAAATTCCACATCAACTGATATCCACTCCCACTTCCAAATAAAAACGAATAGTTCCTGGTTTCCCACTCCTCATGACTATTCCTTACATAACCATTGCTTCTTCTCCGTTTCTCACAGAATTTAAACACGAACACAACAGTATACATTTATGTTTTATCTCCAGGAAGGGTTACTATAATGCTTTAAGTACAGCAGGCGTGGGAATTTGTCTAAATTCAACATCTGTTTGTATGTTACCAGTAAAACAGGATCCAGAGGGGATGGCTACAACTTTAACTTTTATGCCCATCAAACTCCTCCTAGGTGTGACCAGAAATACTCGATGTATGTAGAGGGTACTTGTTTTGTGCCTCATTGGAAAGAAAGCACAGCCCTGGAGCGGGAAGAACTAGAGCAGGCACTTGGGGAATTCTACTAACTCTTCCTGACTTGCTGTAAAGGGTTAGCCACTCCCAGTGTTTCTGCGTGACTAATGGTAGTGACTTAAGTCAGACACTGAAACCTCCCTCTGACACTCAAGTTATCTGACCTTCATCAAACTGGTTACCAGGGCTGCAGAGATGGCTCAGCGGTTGAGAGCACTGCTGCTCTTCCAAGGACCCGGCTTCAATTCCCAGCACCCACATGACAGCTCACAGCCGTCTAACTCCGGTTCCAGGGGACCTGAAACCCTCATACAACAGACATACCTGCAGGCTAACTGGTTATCAGTCTTAAGTCTCAGGTTGATAGGTCCACCCCCAACCCCACCACCCCCGCGGCCAGCCCAATCCACAGGAGCTGCTCCTCCCACTGGGAGAGTGGGGCGGATGTGTCCCAACTAGATAGTACTGCACTGAGATGTGAAAACAAGTAAGAAGGGCAAAGCAGACACAATATAATTAATATAACGTCAGGGAAGCCTGCTTAGCGGGTCACAACTCTCTCCTAAATGGTCATCACAGCCCCAATCCTTGGAAGACTCACCGTCACCCCATATTTGAGAGCTAGTCCAGCCAGGGTATCTCCAGGCTTCAGCTGATGCTCCAGGCGTCTTTCCCTCACTGGGGAGCAGGACGATTGTACCAGGCTTCCATAAGAACGAGCACGGCTCCCTTGCAGCAGCCCTGACCCCCCGAGTGGGGGCTGTCTAGAGGGAGAAGCCATCTCCTCGGGATGCCAAGACCTACGGTCACAACTGAGGAAAGCCTGGCTCAGTGGCCAACAGTGAGAGCCGAACGCAAGGAATAGATATTCAGGGAATTCCTTTTCCGTTCTCTCGTCTCTCTTCAGTCTCGTGGCTCTCGAGAGACTACATTGGTCTTCCTCCTCTTTCTGCAGCTTACCGAGCGAGTACGGGGTTACAGCCCGTACCCGAAGAAGGTTGCCAGACCGGTTACATCTCTCCTTCCTCAAGCCCCTTACTCATAAATATCTTGCCTGAGTTGTCAGTCGCTGCCCCCCTCGACTTTCGACGCCCCCCTCCAACTCCTCGCAAGCCTGATCTCTGACCTCTGAACCCTAGACTCCCTCACCAACACGCTTCCCTCAGTGTGCCCCCACCTCCCGCAGCCAGGCCGCCGGGAGCGCCCCTATCCTCTCGGCTCCAAATCAGGCCCACCCCAGGTGGGTTGTGGCTGCGGGCGCTGAGCCTGAGGACTGCGAGAGTTCGCAGTACACAGTCCACTGAGACTCCCGAAGCCTCACTCCACATCGGGATGTCCCACCCCGAAACGCCGGCTCCGCATTCAGGCTCCTGGTCTCCAAACACCTGGATCCTTCGAGATGCGCGGGCCTGTATTCAGGTGAACGGTAAGCTCTTCGAAAAATAGGAAAAAATAATAACTAAAAGACTTCATTTCCCAAGAGGCAAAGCGTCCTCAGGGCGTCAGAGAAAATGCAGGCCCCCTTAGGGCGCTGGAGGCGGGTCTTCCGGCTCGCGCGGTGCATGCGTGGAAATGCATCCTCGGAAGTACAGGCTCAACCTGAAAAAGACAGGAAGCAGAGAAAGCGATACCCTACTCTTCCTACGGTGGCCTGAAGGAGAAGCGAAGTAGGAGAATTTATTATTTCTGGGACTCACAGTTGCGATGTCTTTCAAGAGGGAAGGGGACGACTGGAGTCAGCTCAATGTGCTAAAAGTAAGAAGCCCTAGAGTGAATCAGACCACGGTCAATGGTGGCTCACGCCTTTAATCCCAGCACTTGGGAGGCAAAAGCAGAGTTTGAGGTTCGAGGCCAGCCTGGTCTACACAACTAGTTCTACGACAGCCAAGAAGGCTATACAGAGAAACCCTGTCGCGAAAAACCAAAGAGAGAGGGAGGGAGGGAGGGAGGGAGGGAGGGAGAGAGAGAGAGAGAGAGAGAGAGAGACTGTGAGACTGCTCAGCTTCAGCTGCACTGTTAGGGGTCCAGAACTGAGTGATGCCTCCTTCTTACCCTATGGTCTGCATGGCCCCGTTCCATTTGACTCTTTATCCCTTTCATCCATCCCACTTCCTCATTTCTCCTGTCCTGCTCTCTGCAGAAACGACGGGTTGGAGACTTGCTGGCCAGCTACATCCCAGAGGATGAGGCGCTGATGCTGCGGGATGGACGGTGAGCGTGAAGGGTGGATCGAGCCTGGGTATTGCGATCAGAGGCTCAACAGACTTTTGTTACTGAGTAGTTCAGGAGTATGGTAGGATTCTTTGGTGGGAAGTGGCGATTGGAAGAAGTGCTTTGACAGGCGGAGCCCCTGCTCCAGCAGGAACAGCCCCACCGCCTGCTCTGGAACTCGCACGGGTTTATCATTCACTTCACTTCTCCTTTCCGTAGCTTTGCGTGTGCCATTTGCCCCCATCGCCCAGTACTGGACACCCTGGCCATGCTGACTGCCCACCGTGCAGGCAAGAAGCATCTGTCCAGTAAGTATAGGGGAAGGAGGGAAGGGAAGAATGATGGAGAATAAACTCTGGACTTTTAGTTTAGCAAACCCCCTGCTGTTGTGCTTTGCATCCCCTTTGCTTTTCAGGTCTGAAGCTCTTCTATGGCAAAAAGCAGGCAGGCAAGGAAACAGAGCAAAATCCAAGGCAGCAGAAAGACCTGAAGACAGAAACCAAAGCTGAGGTGCGAGAGCGGGTCAGGTGTTCCGGCTGTATTGCATGCTCCAGACCTGAAGGGACTTTTGCTCTCGCAGCTCTGATCTGTCTCTTTCCTCCCTAAACAGGCGCCTTTGCTAACCCAGACCCGATTGATCACGCAGAGTGCTCTGCACAGAGCTCCCCACTATAACAGCTGCTGCCGGAGGAAACACAGGTTTGTGGACTTGGACACCCGAGTGGGAAAGGGTAGAAGGAAGTAGATGCCTCTAAAGTTATTGCTCTCCAAAGTGTATTCTGAGCAATACTAATATTTATTGTATTGTGGAGATGTTTAAAGAAAAATGAGGGGCTGGAGAGATAGCTCAGAGGTTAAGAGCATTGCCTGCTCTTCCAAAGGTCCTGAATTCAATTCCCAGTAACCACATGGTGGCTTACAACCGTCTGTAATGGAGTCTGGTGCCCTCTTCTGGCCTGCAGACATACACACAGACAGAATATTGTATACATAATTAATAAATATTTAAAAAAAGAAAGAAAAATGATAGTTTATGACTTTTAAGATAAATTTTAGAAAGTGGGGACTAGTAACATTGAACTGGGCAGTGGTGGCGTACGCCTTTAATCCCAGCACTTGTGAGGCAGAGGCAGGCAGATCTCTGTGAGTTCAAGGCCATTCTGGTGCAGAGTAAGACCCTGTCCCCGTCTCAGTTCAGGAGCTCAGCTCAGGAAGCACTGCTCTGAGGGCTTGGGAGGCATGGTAACTGCTGCTTTCCGTCAATGCATTGCAAGACTTGGGTTCTTCTCTACACAGACCGGAAGCCCCTGCTCCCTCTGTCTCCAGTTCTCCTTTGCCAGCCCCAGAGGTTGGACTCCAGAGTGCAAAGATCAGTAGGGAACCCGAACCTAAGGCAGGATCGCATGCCAAAGAGTCATCTGCTCCCATGAGCCCCACGAAACGACGAATCCTGAACCATTACCTTACCCTTCGAAGGTTAGTCCGCCAATCACATTCTTTGGGTTGCCTTCACTTTTCCCTGACCCACCCTTTTCAAACCAATCCAGCTGCTTTTTTTTTTTAATCACCAGTAACTTTTTATTTAAATTACATTTATTTATTTATGTTGGGGTACACTTGTGTAAGTCAGAGGGCGACCTATGTGGGTTGGTCCTTTCTTTCTACCCTGTGGGTCCCGGGGTTGGGACTCAGCACCGTGAACCTTATTCATAAAATTCTTCTCTGCTGGGCGGTGGTGACACACACCTTTAATCCCAGCACTTGGGAGGCAGAGAATGATGTAGGATTCTCCTCTGTATGCTGTGAATATGTTTTATTACCTAAGTGGTTAATGAATAAAGCTGTTTCTGTCAGTGGCTTAGCAGAGCAAAGCCAGGCCGGAAATTCAAACAGAGAGAGAGAGAGAGAGAGAGAGAGAGAGAGAGAGAGAGAGAGAAGGCGGAGTCAGGGAGACACCGTGTAACTGCTGAAGGAGAAAGATGCCTATTGCCTACCAGTGGGCCACAGCCGTGTGATACATAGCTTGATAGAAATGGGTTAATTTAAGATGTAAGAGCTAGCTAGAAATACACCTGAGACATTGGCTAAACGGTGCTGTAATTAATATAGTTTCTTTGTGATTATTCGGATCTGGGTGGCCAAGAAACGGATGAGCAGTCTCCGCCTACAGAAGCAGGCGAATCTTTGAGTTTGAGGCCAGCCTGGTCTACAGAAGCGAGTGAGTGCCAGGACAGACTCCAGAGCTACACTGAGAAACCCTGTCTCTATAAACAAACAAACCAAAAGACCTCTCTCCTGACCCATTGTCTTTTCTCTGATGTTTCCAGCTCGGGATGGGTCCCAGATGGACAAGGCCGATGGATAAAAGATGAGAATGTTGAATTTGACTCGGATGAGGAAGAGCCCCCTGATCTCCCCGTGGACTAACAACCCCTCGCCCCATTTCTTCCACAGATAAACTGTAGTTGTTCCTTGTTCGACCTTAGGATTTCAAATCTGTTCCTCTCAGCCTGGCCACTCCTTTCCTGCAGCGTCCATGGCTCCATACTCTGACCCCTCCCCCACTCTCTACCAAAGCCTTGCCAAGCGTCAGCTGCATTCAGCCCGGTGCCCTATTAATAAGTCTGTCAGGAGGAGGTCCCTGCCCTTCGTGTAGTCTGACTCCCTCCCCACCTCCACCCTCAGTCCCTTTCCTTCAGCTCACATGTGGATGGCCAATGGGCACAGGAGCTCTGGCCACCTCTGTCTGCAGAGAGCACTGCAGCCAAGTGCCCTGGGAAGAGACTGAAGCCTTTGGCAGATTTATGGGGAACACAAGGAACAGAGCTTCCCCTCCTCCTAGTAACCTGAACCTCCCTGCCTGCTGATCCCCAGAGTATAAATAATCCCTTGATGAACTGGCAGTAACCCTTGAGGGGTAGCGCCAAGATTCCCACCCCAACCCAAGGAAGGAGACAGGCGGCGTGAACAAAAGGGATTTTATTTACAGGAAAGGGAAGAGAGATGAGGACTTATGTGTCCAGGGCTCTCATCTCTTGTTAGCAAAAGGAAGCGTGACACTATCTCTTCTTTTGCTGGCGACCTATAAAGGGAGAATGGTGACACAGCTTCATCTCTTGTTTTGGCAAGGGTGTGTTTCTCTTCCCCTTTCCTTAGACTATAAACTGCTGCCCCATGCCACCTCAGGGGCCTGTCCCATGTTAACAACAAATCAAGAACACACTGGGAAATAAGAGGACGTGTTTCTGGGTGGTACTGTCATGCCGAGCTCCCACCCGCTTCTCTACAGATGTGTGCTGGGGGAAGATGGACTTTGTATCTGTTTCTCACTCATTCCTCTCCGCGTGTGTGCCAGCTACCCAAGCCTCCATCACTAAGTCTGTTTTCAGTGCCCATCTCGGCACTTGCCCTCGTCTCTACACGGGCTCCACAGCTACTTACGCAGCTCGTTGTTCCGGGTCATGGCCTGGGCCGCCCGAGCTCGTGGTCCCTGTTGTGTAAAGTGGTACCCGAAGCGCACAATAGAGGGACACTGCTCTAACACAGTGGCCATTTCCATCTCCACTGCATCACCAGGCCATTGGCGCTGAGGAGAGAGGCAGAAGCTGTCAGAAACCTATGGTTCTTCAGCCCAGCCACGGGTCTCCGGGAAGTTGAGAGGCTTGTTTCTCTAGAGTAGGTGAAGGGAGTGCTGGTCCCCTTGCTGCCCAATAAGCTGCCCAGGGAGGAACTCAGTGGGTGTTAGCTGGATGAGTGACCCTGGGGTCGGAATGCTGACCTGGTTATCTACACGGAGCTCGGTAAGAGTGGCGTTCTCCCGAACTGCCTTCAGCACAGCCATGAGCCCTGTGCTGCTGATGAAGTTGGATTCAATGTTCAGGCTCTGGAGACTACGGTTCTCACGCAACATGTCAGCTACCGCCTGGGTGGTAGGGACTTGTGTTAAGGTTGGGGACAGGTTCGTAGGTGACTGAGGAGAGGCAGAAGGGGAGCAGGAGGGACACAGCCCTTTGCAGTTCCCTGAGGAGCCAGGGTTGGGGAGTCGGTGAAAGCGTGAAGGTTAAGATCACCGGCAGGATTGAGGCTACTAGAGAAGGTTGTTTTTTGGGGGGAAATGCCTTGGAACTTCAGAGTTGTGAGCCAGAGAGGTAAGGGTACGGGATCTCTGAGGGCTGCCATATAACTCATGATGGGAACAGCACCCCCCAGTGTGACCAGAAAGACAGCCCTTGCCAGGAGTGCATGGCAGGGTATGGGAAGAGGACTGGGGACAGCAGCCAGCCTTACATTGGCGATGGGGTCACCACTCTTTGTGGCCACCAGACTGAAGCTCCGGACATAGGTGTTAGTCTTCATTGCTTCACATAACTCACTGAGCACGGGTATCGGGATGTCCTAAGGGACACAGGATGGGGACTAAAGATCCTCATGCCTCCACAGCTATTCCTGCTACGATTTGGGGATGGGAGTCAAATACCTGTATGTTATTGAGGTTCACTTCCTCCAGCTCTTTGTCATTACTCCGCACTCTCTTTAGCATTTCCTCAATGTTTGTGGGATTTGGGGGTTCATCTGGTACTGGCTTATACTTGTCAGGCTGTACCACACCTGGTGGGGATAAGAGCCGAGAGGGAACCCCAACATATCCCTTACTCCATCTCCCCACTTGCTCTCTAAACCTTCATGCAGCATGTCTCACAGTGGAGCCTCCTCAGCCCCTGGAGCTCCCCCAGCACACTCACTGCTAATGCCTTCGGTGTTACAGATCTCCCCGCTGCAGATGGCATCGTAGTATTGCTTGTTGCTCATCAGTGTGTACATGCCCAGGATGGCTGGTGAGGGTAAGCAGAGGGACATGGCAGTTAAGGCACCTGCCACAGGCCTGCCTCCTGCCTCTCTCCTGAAGCAGTTCCACAGCCTGACCGTCCACTCTTGCCGAGCTTCTCACCCTCCCTCAGCTCCAGGAGTCTCTTCCATGCACCTGCCTTAGAGTGATTTCTAGAATTTGAGAGGGCTCGGGGAGCCCCTTGAGGAGCCGCTAGAGGGTGAGGCCTGTCTGCAGACAAGATCTTCTGCTGCTTTCAGCCTCATCTGCCTTTATGATCCCTGGAAGGTTACTCCTGGGATGTTATCTTATTAAATTAAAAAAAAAAAAAATGAACCAGTGTACAAGCAAACAAAAGTTAAAAACCACTGCCTTAGGCTTTCTCAGATGTCCATGTTCTGGCTTGGACTTTTCCCTCTAGTTCTGTATCAAGGTAAAGATGGCACAAGCCCCATCCTCCCACCTTCCTTGACTTCCCGGCTGCCCACCTGCAATGTCACACATTTCAGCATCTGTAGCATGGGACAGTGCCTCCTCCAGTTCGGGCTCCAGTGTAATCTGCTCCTCTGCTGGGATTTCTCTCTTGGGCTGAATATAGGGTTTCCCTGATGGAGGGATGAAGGACAGTTCGGGAAGAGCATCCACCTTGCTTTATTTCTCCATGTGGGGTCAGACTGAAGCCTGAATTCCCCACAAGCACAGGACCCTTGAGTCCTGTCCTCTCCACTCTTGGAAAAACTGAAGAGTACACACATGCTGGTGAGGCAGCATGTGTCTGCAATCCCAGCATTTGGTAAACTGAGCTAGCAGTCTGCTAGCTCAGGGCCAACCTGGGCTACACAGTGAGATCCTACCTCAAAAAAAAAATTGAAAACAACAAAAATCGAAGAGAACAAACTAGCATGCAGGTGTCCAGCACTGGAGTTCCTGATAGATGGTTGCTAGAAAGGGGAGGGGAGCTAACGGAAAAGTGCCAGGGACAGCCGTTTGCTTCCTGTAGGGCATAGATGTTAGGGTGCCCGTACCTTTCTTCTCGCCAGTGAAGGGCACCAAGTCATCACGTTCCTTGACTTCCAGTGCCTGCTGCTCCAGGTACTGCAACAGGGCATCTCGGTCTAGTGGCCCTGTTGGACTCTTCTTTGTCTGGTCACGTTGTCTCAGTCCAGCTGGCAGGAGCATATTCTTAGGGATGAGTTTTGGGGAACAAATCAGGCACTCTCCAGACATCTTTTCCCTGGCCCTTCTAGGATTCCAGGTCCTATTGGTAGCCCCGGTCACAGCCACCCAACATCCACTCCTTCCCGCATGTGCGGGATGCTCTGACCCCTGTGCTGGTTCCCTGGCTCAGGCACTGGTCTCAGCCACCCAGCATCCACTCCTTCCCGCATGTGTAGGGATGCTCCGGTCCCTGTGCTGGTGCCCCTACCTCAGGGTCCATTTCTTGTAGCTCACAGTCCAGCTGTTCCAGCTCTTCGGGGCTCAAGGTCCTTAGGATCTCATCTTCATCTATGTCTCTGTATTTCTCCAGTTCCTTCTGATATGATGACATGGTGGCCCCTCCCCCTCCCCACCGTGCGACACTCACAGCCTGGAGGGATATGGGAAAAGGTGTTGAACATGGATACTGAGGACACAGAAGTCCAGCCATGGTTAGAACACTGAGCTAGACACCTTGGAGACCAGGGTCTACTGGGGACGGAAAGATTAGACCGTTCATTGTTACAGTTTCCTTCCTGGTTCCTGCACTTTGCAGCCATTCTGGCTGAGGAGTCTAAGCTCCAGGCTGGGTCTGTGCACCCACTGTGATGGAGAAAAACTGACAGGGCCCTCCCCTACTTTACCCGACAGTGTCTCTTGCCCTGACACAGCTGCTGGAGGCCCTGTCAGCACAGTGGCTGCATGCCCAGTTCCCACTGAAAGGTGGGAGGGGGTGACAGAGAGCTCCAGGGAAATTCCTCCTCTCTTCCCCAACACCCAGGCCTCTTCCAAAACTGGTAAGTGAGGAAGAATGGCTGGGTTGGATTGGCGGCCTCTTATGCCATTCTCATTTCCTCCTTTATTGTAAAGGACCAAGATCTTACTTTTTGTATTTGCTAAAATTCTAAACTGTGAGGGGAAAGTAAGGCTTAGAAGCTGGGGCACTTCCAGATTGGGAGAAGGGCAATATGGCCTCAGAAGGCATTCGGTTCCCATAATCTGTCACCAGAAAGGTGACACCAGAGCTCTGGACAAAAACAACAAAGCCTTCTAAATGGGGTAGTGGGACGAGTAAGCTTTTCACTGTGTGAAGAATGCTCCCGACCTCTACATACACATCATGCTTAACATGGAAGATGATCCTGAAAGGGAGACATTAGCAACATAAGCCGCACAGAGTCAGGACAGGGACGTCGCAGAAACATAGAGTGACAGAGGCAAGGACACACCAGCTCACTTCCCCTGGGGCCACTCTTCCTTCCTATCACCCACCAGGCCCTCACCCAGAAGACCCCTCTTTTCCCACCCACCAGTCCTAGCTGCCACCTCTCACCTCCCCTTGTCAGTTGGTCCGTCTGTTCTACTAGGGCACCGTCCGGTCAGCAGGAGGAGTCTGGTGCCGGGGGAGAGAGTGGGGGAACAGTGAGCTCAGCATTTTATTATTTTAGCTCTGGCCAGGTGGGGAGTGGTGGGAGATCACATATACACAGACCCCATACCTTGCCCAGCCCTGAGAGCCTCTAGTGGCCAGTCCCAGCCATGACACCTTTTCTTCCCCTACGAGCAGAGTCCTCCAGGGGAGATCAGATGACTCCCACTGTGCGGTGCCTGCTCCTGCTCCGTTCAAAGCACCGAACATAGGGTGGTATGTCAGTGCAGCCAGACAGTGCCTCACACCCGTATTCCCGCCACACGGGAGGCTGAGGCAGGGCTGCTACAACATGGAGAACAGCATGAACTATAGCAAAGCCTTTTGTTTTGTTTTTTTGTTTTTGTTTTTCGAGACAGGGTTTCTCTGTGGTTTTGGAGCCTGTCCTGGAACTAGCTCTTGTAGACCAGGCTGGTCTCGAACTCACAGAGATCCACCTGCCTCTGCCTCCCAAGTGCTGGGATTAAAGGTGTGCACCACCATCGCCCGGCTTTGTTTTTGTTTTTTAGAGACAGGGTTTCTCTGTGTCGCCCTGGCTGTCCTGGAACTCATTCTGTAGACCAGGCTGGCCTCGAACTCACAGAGTCACTTGCCACTGCCTTTCAATTGCTGGAATTAAAGGCATTCGCTACTACTGCCTGACTACAAAACATTTTTTAAAGGGGTGTGGGAGCTAGAGATGGCTCAAGTGGTTCTTCGCTGTGTAATTGTGAGGACTGGAGCTGCCATTCCTGCACCCACATAACAAGCTGGTCATTTCACACATGTTGTACCCCAGCTTTTGTGGGCGGCAGAGACAGAGGATCACTGGAGGCTGCTGGCTTCTGATAGCCTAGACTCAGGAAGAGAAAGAATTACAGAAGACACTGGTGGCATCTGCATGTGCGCACCACCCACAAACACACACTCTCTCAAGTAAGGATTTTGATTTGGTATCTAACTTTAGTTGAAAGAACAAATACTTTAGAATTAAATATGGACAACCCATGTAATGACATGCAGTGCGAGATGGGACCGTGGATCATATAGCAGGGGACAAACACGCCATCAAACAGAGCTTAAATGAGAGGCAAGTTTACTGGGAAAGGGGGTGGGGGGGGGAGAAAGAGAGAGAGAGAGACAGCAGAAAGAGAGCGGGAGTGGGCAGAGCCTGTCTCTTAAAGGAACATTTACAACTAAGTAGAGTCAGTACTGCCTCTGTCAGGTCCCCAAGGACAGGATCAAGTTTACATTTGCCTAGATAACAACCCGGGTAAGTATAATAAAAATATGTGACAGGATCAAACAAAAGCATCTTTATGAAGCCAATTACTTTGTATAATACATATGTACTAATAAAAGACAGAGCAGGGACCGCAATTTCGCCTCTAGGCCTAGCACTTGGAAGGCTGAGGCTGAAGGACTGCCTGAGCCCAGGAGTCTGAAACTACCCAGAACAATTTAGTAAGAACTTATGTTTTAAAAATAAAGAAACAAGGCCGGGCGGTGGTGGCACAGGCCTTTAATCCCAACACTCAGGAGGCAGAGGCAGGTGGATCTCTGTGAGTTCAAGAACAGCCTGGTCTATAGAGCGAATTCCAGGACAGCCAGGGCTACACAGAG